TACTTGCCTGGCGCTCGCTTGCGGGGCGTAACGGATTGAGTTTCTGCGACTGGCTTCTCTAGAGACGGGGCGAGCGCCAACATCTTCTGCAGCCGCTCGCTCACTTGCCATAGTTCATGTGTCACCAGCTCAGGTGCAGAGTCTGACGTTAATTCTTCACAAAACTAAACGGCGAAGAGTATCCAACTTCGGCAAATTCTGTCTGCACAATACATATGAGAGAAGGCTCCGGGATATTAGCAGCGCAGACTGAATCACCCAAGGCGGTAATAAATTATCTGAATATTACATTAGTAATAGTTAACAGTGAAAATGCTACATTTGTCATATTTAAAAACTCTATTCTCACAAAATATGTAAAGAAAAATTTTGGAGCCATTTCTGAGAAAAATTTGAAATTGTATCAGGGGCTTCATGTAAAGTACCCCAAATTTCAGAATTGCAGAGCTTCCAGTCGAGTCAGATCGACCGGGGAATATTCATTTTGGAAAAAATCCTAGGAATAGTTTAGGCCCTAGTATTGTTTACAGTCGGATGGACGGATGAGGGGCAGACGTTTTCCCATTAACCAATTTTTCGGAATCCTACAAACCCACAAATCATGAATTCTGAGTACCCATCGTGTTAAAGCAAACAAATTATTGCACATTGGAAAACTATTCATCCGCCTTTTCTCTATAAAGACCTTACGGTACAAGTTTTCTTTGGAAAAATCGCATTTTTGCTGCAGCATTACGTGTCTTCCTCTGTCTGTATGTGCTTGGCGCGACAAACCGTGAACGGGCTCAGGCCAACCGGTTGTTTCTGCCTCGCGGCAATGGATTAAAGAGGTACGTGTCGTTAGCAGTATTCCGGTCTTCTCAACCTGAGACTTTCACATCATCACACAGCAACATATACATAACATTGCATGGGAAAAGCACGCTATAATCTTGCCTCACCAGGAATCGAACGCGGGGCCGCAACTTCCTCTATACTCTGAATAAATCTCCGTATATACGAACGTGTAAGAGAAAGTAAAAACAACGGAAATGACTTATCAGATTCACCAACCGTTAGAATGCTGAACCAGACTAATCAATTTTGCCCAGCCGTTGGACTGGTGTCGAATATTCTGACACCGTCGGGAGTAGAGTACCTCTTAATCAACGAAGTCTCAATTGCAGTGCCATCATTACATAGGCTTTAAATTCGTTACACGTATTAAACATAATACACACTTACCCTGTGCGAACATTTCGTACTTCGTTGCTTGTTCAAAAAAGGAAAACAGCTTCGTATTAAAATCTTGGAGTCCCAAAAAAGGATTTGAGAGCGTAGAACGCACCGCTTCAAAGTTATACTAATGAAAGGTGTATTGCGAATAATAAGTGTACCTGCTGATTTCTTCGTACTTTAATCTATAAAATTTTACATTATTCGTCTTAATTTTTTTACGTAGTCTTGGGAGGTAATTCCATCTCCAAAAGTAGCACATTTACGGGATTTTGTGTCGATGGCTTGCTATTTTTTGCAATACAAACCCGTCATAATTTCTTAACGTTTTCAGTAAGAGAATGGAAAGTAAGCATGATGTGTCTTATTACGGAGTTGTAGCGCCACGCATAAGGTAGCAATATTATGCTCACGTGACGAACCTTAAAGATATAACGTTAATATTCGTTAAGACAACGTTAACGTGTTAGGCTGAAGGCAGGAACTTGTGTCTTCATAAATTGTCCATGCCTATGGCAGTCTATGGTCACCTTAAAAGCTGCAAAATGGCTACCTAAAAACAGGAAAGGTTGCATTTTTATAATTCTGATAAATTGATTCTCGCATATGAGGCAGTTACAATGCTGATTCTTACCAATATTCCCAAGACTGGCAAGAATTAACAAAAATTGTTGGAAAGTTGAAAGCTAAGAAATTCGCGAAAAAACGAGTTGAAATCGTATCTTCGTGTTAGGTTAAGTCATATGCTCATACCGAACGCTCTTATTAGATAATTCCAACATTCTCAAGAAAAGCCAATTCCAATTCTCAGACTGCACACTCATCACTTAGGGCCAGAAAATATAAAACGTCTTGCGTAAAGGAGATTTTTTACTCAAGACTTGTATTGTGGTTCAAATGCCTTACCAATTGCGTACACTCTTTGAAATGTTATGCAACTTCTTCAGCACTTGAAACAATTCTTTTGTGCAGAGCGCAATGTCTCAATTGCTAAAGCTCATCAGAACGTTGCCTCTTATGGCCGTATAACGTCGTTAGTCACGTGATCAGTAGAGTTTAAGGTTGCCTCCATGCGCCTGGCGCTAAAAGTCCCCGTAGAAGCGCGAGGAGCGCTAAACGGTTGGTTCCGAGGTCGGAGGAGCGTTTCTTTGCGGGACGCGTGCGGGGCGACCTCCTGCGTGCCACGGCCAGCGCTCCTGGCGGCCGAAGGCGGCCCTTCGCCCCCCCTCCACCCACGCCCCGCCCCCGTCAGCGGCCGCCAAGGCTCGCTTTGGCCTCCGCCTTGGCCTTCCGTGCTCCCTCGACAACCAAGTCTCGTCTTCGCACGTTGGGGCAGTCCAATGGCAGGTTGCGGCGCCATTTGTGGCATGTTGCAATACTGACGTGGCACTAAAATACAAAAATCGACGTGGGTATACAACTTATGAAATCTGACTGCACAACATTTTAAAGGAAGTCTTTTCTGCATTTTAGAATAGAATTTATCCACTTTTTTGTATCAGGCCCTCACAATACGAGTTTTTCTGTCGACAATGTGCCTTTTTTGCCGCATCATTACACAACTTTTTCTATACTATGTACATTACTCCATATACACGTACGTATACAAGAAAAAAAAATCATTTTAGCGTTTGAATCAGCACTTTGATCTAATGTGTCCTTTCGTGCTGCGAAAGCTCGAGCACAGTGTGTCAATCGACGTGAGTACCTTTAGAGACAAGCACTTGCATTTCGAACCTGAACGGAACTAGAAGAATTGTGTCATGTAGTAGGCAACAGAAAACTGTTCTGATCAAGGGGATACTGTTATTTGAAATTATATATATATAAATTTTGTAATTGAAAACTCTTATGTTGAAGAATAAAAAGCAATTCCATTTCTTTTCTCAAATCAAATAGCAATGTTTTTATGAAACTCTTCGTTTTAATGTAGCAAAAATCTAGTTGGTCAAAAGCGTTATTTTATAAATTAAGCTAAGCATGCGCATTCTAGCCTAAGGAAAATAGAGAAAGCATGTCAACTAACGTTGACCGACATATACTCCGACAGAAATAGGAAAACGTATCGCAAGGATATCGCACTACTTTTAACAGCAGAGAGAAACATGGTTTCTCTTATTCCGCCGAACGAAAGCAAGCACGCCAATGGAACATTCGCGCTTAAAACGTTATGCATCTACTACAAAGAAGCTTGCTTCCTTGCCTTGTAATTACATTGCTACCAGTAAATAAAGCTTACATGCATTACGAAGGGATTGGACCTTGAAAATACAAAAGCCACAACAAGAATTTACCAAAAAACGGCTCGAATTTGTTTCTTTAGCCTTTTGGTTGGGATAGTGCTAAATGTACTCTATGAGATGACCTGAACTCCATTTTCCGTCATTCTGTTTCTTAAACAGTTTCCAAAATGTAATTATTTATATATCTCTCTCGCGTCGTTAATATTTAAATTAACGGCAACTTGTATACATTATTTAATTTCTTAAAAAATGTGTTTCAAATCATGTATTATAAAGAATCTCGTAAACACAAAATATTTCTGTGAAAACGGGTTAAAATTTCCGCATTTTCAGAAACGCTCAAATGTCATTTTCTCAAAAATGGCTCCAGATTTTTTCAAGTGCTTTGCACGTGTAGTGGTAAAGGCACTGTATAAAATGACACAAAAATAATTTTGCAAGATTCTTTTGTTCTTTAAAAATTACACGAATATATTTGTTTTAAAATATCTCTTTAGTATTGCGGAACATACTTTCGAGCGTAATTGTGACCAAAAAATGTGAAAGGGTGGTGAGAATTATATGTTAATCCAGAGTTGCTAAAATGCAGCAATTGGAGGTAGACTGACTTTTGTTGCCCTTTGCTGTTGCACAAATTAAGAGATAACTACTGATGCTACAGAATGGCATTTGCCGTATTAGTTTTCTATTGCCTTTGGTCTCGGCTAGCTACACGAACGTGCCACATACTCTTGCCAGCTGCCGTCTATCGCCGCGCAAAGTACACTTTTTGTAATTTTCTTAATTTTTCGGTTACCTAATAGTAGAAAATTTTGAAAATGTCCGGAGGGCTTCATGTAAAGTATCTCCAAATTTTAAAGATTTTTTTTCAAAATCTCAAAGATTCGACTAAAGCGAGATGGACAGGGGTTTATTCAATTTAGAAAAAACCCTACGCATGGTTCAGACGCTAGTAATATTCACAGGCGGACAGACAGACAGGCGGAGAGACAGCCAGACGAAGTGACGGACAGACGGGCGTTTTGAAAATAACCACTTTTTTGGTATAAGGGGACCCCAAAAGCGCGTATTTCCGTTGGAATATTGAAATCAATTTTCCGCAGCATTACATAACTTTCACCATACTACGTATATTACTCCGTACATACGGACGTATAAGGGAAAGTAAAAAGGGCAGTTTTACTCTTGAACATTTCAAACAGAACCTTGTAATCCAATGGTGGGTCGTCACAGTCGTATTATCAGACAAAGAAGGTACTTCCTCTTAGCAGCACATTAATGTTGCTTATTTTTAGTACATGGATTATTTATACTAGTTAAGTAACAAACAATTTGATTAGTTCATTGTTTTAATCTTGCGCTGTGTGTTGTGCGCAGATGGGCGGCAGCGAGGACGCAGCGCCGGCGCGCGTCGGGCCCGACGGCGCGGGCGACGAGGAGGAGGGCGGCGAGGACGCGTGCTCGCTGTCCGCCGCGTCGCAGGCGCTGGCCGCCGCCGAGCTGCGCGAGGACGCGTGTGCGCGCGCGCAGGCGCTGGCCGCCATGCGCGCGTGGCTGCGCAAGCACCCGGCCATCCGCCGCTGCCGCGCGGACGCGCCCTTCCTGCTGCGCTTCCTGCGCACCAAGAAGTTCAGCGTGCCGCAGGCGCAGGACATGCTGGAGCGCTACCTCGCCATCCGGCAGCTCTATCCACGCTGGTTCCGCAAGCTCGACCTCGACGACCCCGAGCTGGCAGAGGTCATCGACGCCGGGTGAGCCCCGTATGCAACGCAAAGAACTGCGCTCCAATACTGACATTACAAGGCGTTCATAACCAACCAGTCCGCTTTTTATGAGACCGACCGAGTGTCGTTCACTGGTTTTTGTAATTCCGTCTTTCGTAGATTTCGTAGGTCGTCAAAGAGATTTCGTGTACCTTGCATGCACCACTCAAAGCTTAGCAGACTGATGAGATACTTTAATATAATTAATATTTTTACCTTTTATATTCGAATCATCTGTATCCTTCACACCCGTCCTCGTCGAACCAAAGATGATAATTTCCTTTGAACCTTCCGAAGATGTCCTACACCCTTCTTGCTCAAACCACACATCTCATCCTTTGCCTCTCAACATACTAGTAAAACCCCTGTTAGTCAAGGCTTTTTAAGATTTCTTTGGTTATCAGAGAGAAATTATTAATTTTGTTTTCACATGCATCTTCAATATATCGTTTCATATTGAATGCATCGTTTTCAGAGGTAGTTTTTATTGTCATTTTAATGAATGAGATCACACTACTAAAACATATTTAAAGTTGAAAACATGCTTCTCTATTTTCCAATATAAAAGCCAATAAAACATTCGAACAGGATAACTATTTAAAAATTGTTTGGGCAACACTGAAAGAGTGTTCGACGTTATGGAATTTTTAAAAGCCTGGGAGACATTGTTAATGAAATATCATACTAAAAAGTATTATGAAACATTATATAAGTTTATTATCAATTACAACTGTACCATTTTCTGTAAAATGTAATTTAAGTTGCTAATGATGTATTCATTCATCAATGTGACTATAAATTAGTAGGAGAAACATACTTTAGAAATTAACAATAAATATTCAACGTAAATAAAGTAATAAATATGAGAAAAAGAAAGAATTAGAATAAACATTTAACAACGATTCAAAACCAAATATAACAATCTCTACTAACAAAAGTAAGTGTAAGAATAAATCTATGAAGCAATTCAAAGAAAAAAGGAGGATCTTGTTATATTGCTAAGAACTTCATCGATCAATCTAAATAAATGCCGTTTACGTGTAATTTTCAGTCGGACCTTCTCATGAAAATTCACTGTTATTACATTAATAAAATCAGACTCATGTTTTGGAAATACGACTGTTAAACACATCCCGAACACGCTGTTTGTGACATTTATTCTTAACAACCTGTATACAGCTGTGCAAAACATATTTCATGTTTTTGATTGCTCCTGTAAAATATTTTTCAAAATGTTTGCCCGCTCGTATGAGATGTTTAATGTCCACTGTCCTGCTCGCAGGTACCTGGTGCCGCTGCCCGAGCGAGACGACTTCGGGCGCCAGGTGATCCTGTCCTGCGCAGGTGAGTTGAGCGCATGCGCTAAAAGGCGCGGGGCCCAGCCAATTCCCCGCGCTGCCGGCGGCTGCCAGGCGTACTCAACGAGTTACGTACGTTGCCCCATGTGACAGACGAATGCAACGCCCGGCCCTGACCCACTGCGCGCTAGAAAGCACAGCCGCGCCCGCGCCCCCGCCCGCGGCTCTCCGCCGTCCGCAGCTTCCCTCGTATTTCACTTAAACTCAATAACGACACAGGGTTGATACAGAGCAAATAAACACTCAAGTTTTATTCGTAACATCGGCTTTGTGTCTTGCAATATTTATCGTAATATCACAATTTTAAAAGAAAAAAAAGTAATTCAAACAGGAGATACAATAATGGGACGTTCACGATATTTGCTGCCCCTTTAGTGATATTTTCCCTTGGCGGCCATGTCACTTTTCTCCTGTGGTGCTCCTCTGCTCGACTCTCCCTCAAGCCGAGAAAACATGGGTTGTGTATCCACTGTGTAGTCCAAGTAAAAAGTAGATCATTTTGAAATCTAAACATATAGATTATTGATGTTGATGATAGCAAAGGTTTTGTAACACTATTTTAATATTATCACATTCTTCTTTAATATTTGTTGACTGACCAATTGGGATGGATAGCAGTTGCCATTGTAAAGTAAAACTTAAACTTCGAGTGCAACTTTCTTTGACAAACCGCCAGTCTTCGGGTTGATATTCTGAACAAGTAGTCCAGGAATGTTAGAATAATAAACAAAATTCCATTTTCACTCATTTATGACAGGAATTTTGCCTCTGTTATCCTGTAAAATATAATTTTCACTTCTGGTGTGAGATATTTCTTTTCTTTTACTCTGGATGCTAAAAGTTCAGCTGCTTGTTTTGGGAAAGCGAGATCACTTATTAAATGTCGGAGCTCTTCTCGAGAGAATTGATCTTTAGTAGCAACACTTCCATCGTATTCACTTGTACTGTTTACTATCCAATTGCACCCCAGAATCTGTATATCCTCGTTACCAGAAACAGTCATTCCAGGGAATCTGGTGAGCACTGGTATGAGAGCATCAGGACCATGAGGCGAAATTCACCTAGCTGATTCCAAATCAGGGTGCTCCCAGTTCCTTTTCTTGTTATATGATTTGATGTTTACAGCACAAAAATCATCATTCTGATGCTTTTTTGGGCTCTCATCATGCCTTCGGTAACCAAATTTTAAACTCTTCTGTTTTCCAGTTTTGCGCTGACGGACACTCCATATAAGTTTTGCATACCATATGAGGAACCCACAACTTACGTTGACCACCCAGTTTTATACCAAAATTCACTTCATATGTTTTTTTCAATAATTTTGTAATATTTCTTTGGTTTTTGTTGCGTATATTCCCCACAAGTATAGCCAAATAAAATCGGTTCGTTTAAAGAACATTGTGCCTTAAAAATTCATTGTTTTGTAACATAAGAGGCTGTTCACGAAGCTCAATCAAAGTATCTTAAAATAATGCGATATTCATTGTTTAAAATGAAAAGCAACAGTGTTTATAAAAAAGATAGATATTAGCGTAAAATGCTGTAAGTCGTGATAGCATCAGTCATTACGTTTGTAGCACCAAAACCAAAGATAACCCAGTGAAACTAATGACATATTTGAATTGAGCATACCCTTTTTATCGTAAATTCGTTGCAAGTAGAGTGTTTTTTTGTTGAGCTGTGTAATACGGATGTCGGTATTAGTTGCGAGGCTGCGTTTAAGAACTGGTATTAACAGTAGCACATGCGCAGGGCGCTTCGACCCGTACAAGTTCTCGTCTGCGCACATGGCGCGCGCGCACGGGCTGGTGGCGGAGGCGCTCATGGACGACGAGGAGAACCAGGTGCGCGGCTACGCCTACGTCAACGACGAGTCGGGGCTCACCGCGGGCCACCTCTCGCTCTGGTCGCTCGCCGACATCCGCGCCATGCTGCGCTGCATACAGGTACCGCTTCCTCCCTTCTGCGCTTGGCTCAGGGCGGGTGGTTCGGGATCAAATGTTACAAACTTCTAGGGCAGGAAAGAGGTTGAAGATGACCACATTAATGCTAATGAATATGTGGTGGGAAATCTCAGAGAACGACGTTACAAGTGTGATTTTGTTCCTGATGGTGGGCAGCTCAATGTGCTCTGGACTTTGACACAATGACGCTCCGACAAAGGCATTTTGTGTACTTACGAAACGTTAGTGAAGGATGAGTGACTTACCAACCAAGGGGTTGATACTCAAAATTGCATAGTGTCATTTCGTTATATGAGATTTCACATCACATGTTCATTAGAAAAATCTGAGGAACCCACACCACCCATCATCTCACATAGTAATATAACATTTATACTTAACCATCTGTATACAGTTGTGCAAATATATCTCAAACTTTTTATAGAAATACTTACTCTGAGAGGCACTGGCAGTGAAAAATCGAAATTGATTTTTTGCTCATATGTTGTGTCTGTTCGTTTGAATATTCACATTAAATATGCTCATTTCATTATTCTGCTGATGGCCAACTGCCTAAATCACGTTCTTTTTAAATCTGAAGGCATTTTTGATTATTTTAAAATCCGATGAAAATGATAGTGGACAGTAAATACACACACAGTAAGCAGGAATTATTGAAAGTAGTGGCGCTACAGAATGGCACAGACTTTCCCGGATTAGCTTTCTATTTCCTTTAGTCTCGGCTAGCTAATCGGGATTGTCACATTCTCTTGCCAGTTGCCATCTTACAGCTTAAAGTACATTTTTATAGAATAAATTTAATACTATCTATACCAAGAGTTTAAAGAAACAAATTGGATCTCTTTTTGAGAAAAACTTGTTTTTGTTATTTTTGAAACTGCAAAATTGCACACAATTTCGCGCGAAAACTACTAAAATTTTCAAAAAATGTATATGATTTTAATAAAAGAAATAATTATGGACAACACATTTAATTTCAAGGAAAAGAGTATATCTGTAATTTAGTAGTTGTAGGAAGACACCGAAAAATCCATACTTTTGAAATTTTCGGAAATTCAGAGTTAACCGTGAAAATTCTTCAATTTGGAATAAATACTACGCATGGTTTAGGCGCTATTTGTGTTCACAGACAGACGAACGGACACACGTTTTGAAAAGAACCCTTTTTCAGTATTAGGGGACCCCAAAACGTGTATTTTCATTGTATACTACGTAAATGGAAAAGTAAAAACAATATGCGACTGATAATTTGAACGATACTTGTAAAACAAATATATTTTTCCTTGAGATTGTTTGCAAGCTCATGATCCTAAATAGGGACATACAATTTCGGGGATTTATGCCATTCAAATAGAGTCAAAAGTATAATTTATAACTAAAAATGTTACTCAAGTACAATGCTAACGGCTTGCATATGACAGCATGAGTCAAACGATGATTTCTTGCTTTGATGTACAGGTGCGCAGGATATGTGTCACCATTTGTTCCTTACATACTTCATGAGTCACACTCAACGAGCTAGAATATACTACGTAATTGGCTGAAGCGCCTCCATCTTTAAAGCAAATTGAAGCCATGATTTTTGCAGTCAAACCAGCGCCCTCTGGGATTAGTGCCGATAGCGCCTTTTACACTTTCATTTATTAATTATTATGGATTATTAATTTATTTCACATATTTTTCTTTATTTATAGCTAGACCTTTTCACTAATCCTTATGTGTGTTGCCTTATTGTAAGGTGTGAGGTTTCTGAGTGTGGTATTTTCCTTCCGCAGAACTCGACGCCGATGCGCCACAAGGCCACGCACTTCCTGAACGTGCCCTCGCTCGCCTCGAAGGTCTTCGAGTTCTTCATCGGACTCCTCTCGGAGAAGCTGCGAGCGCGCATACGAGTAAGGGCCTTTCACTCTCTTCCATCTCCGCCATCTTCTTTCAGGGCCAGGACGTCAAACCTCTCCCTTCATCACACTATAATGTTTATATTGTATACCATTGCGATTGGGTCAATAATGGTTATTGGTTTTAAAAGTTTTACAATCATTTTCCAATTGATTGTTATTTAGACTCTGAATGGCCTTAAAGAATACCTCTGCACACGAACTTGTTGCTTGTGTGCTCGTGGATTTATTAGTATTTTTCAAAGCATTTGCATTATATTTGAAATCACACATTTAAAATAAATTACTAGTAGTTGTTCTGTTATAAGTAACTTTGGTATTTCACCTTCAAAAGCTATCGAGGAAAAATGATTTATTTGCTTTTATTTTCTTCCCTTCGCCAATTAATTTCATTGTAGCATTCTTTGCTTTACAAATAATTTTGCAGTTGCGCGTAAATTCATCCCTTTAGAACGCATCCCGAATCAGAAATTACTTGCCAAAATGAGAGTAACTTTAACTGAAGTATTGTTTTTACTTATTTTAGGAGTACAAAACTTGATCTGCAAACTCGAACTATTACCCTTAATTCACGAACATTTTCACAACAATATGTTCCTTAACTCATACAATTTTGGGAGCCATTTTGTTGAGAAGAAGCACTGTGCAAATTGTATACCTCTCTGAGGCAATTTAAATAGAACGCCTGTGGGTAGGCTTTTCTCCAAACACACTCGCGCACATTTTGCCTACACGCCAGGCGTTTTCGTCCCCTTCTCCGATCTTACATACTTCCTCTTTAATTTAAGTCATTGCGGACCCCAATATCTCTAGCAAAACATTAAAACTAAAGTCAGTCTCACTTTGATAAATTATTCAGATTGAATACCGAATAAAAGTTATAGAAAATTTTGTTTATCACTAAAATCATGCAAGTCGAAGAATCGCGGTGGAGTATTTTGTAGCATTTTTTTAATAGTCAATTGTTCAATTTTTTTGGCACATAAAAATAGTGCTAGCTTTTCGTGATGCAATCTCGCGTTCGACTCTCACTCCGGTCAAAAGCTGTAGTTTTATATTTTGAAAGTTGTAGAGTTGCATCTTTACACCCGTGTCCGTTTCTTTAGCTGTGTGACGAAAGAAAATCTCAGACAGGCCAAGAAAGCTTAATAGGATGTTGGGGAATGCTCACCACATGTTTATTTTACCGCTTGGCGTCGAAAATACAGGACCACGCCTGGAACAGCGCTAGCTGGCAAAAATATGATTAATCCGACTCAGAATACCAAATACATAGTATATAAAAATTGTTTAGATTTATTTATTTAGTCAGAAACAGTAAAAACTGTTTGTGACGTATGGGAAAGAAAATAATCTGAGCACGTTTTCTTGAGTTCTAGAACCTCTTCCCATCATTTTAACTACAAATAGTTGAAGGATAAGTAAAAGTTAAAGATAAATAAATAAAGACAAAATTTAAAAAAGCGCGACGTCAGCAACATTTGAAAAACTAGACGTTCCTGAGTTATAGAGAACTTATTTGTAACTGTAAACGAACTGCAGATTTTATTTTCTGCATTGCTAACAAAATAGTAATTAGCCCTTACCTCTACTCCTACCACTGAAAACAAAAGGAGAGTTCAACAAAACGTGTGCATAGTGGAGCTACATTAACGTCCAGATGCCCAGTTTGTAATAGGGTTTTCCTGATCGCGTGAAGGTGCTAATACTCTTACGGATTCGCGATTCTTTTAATTGGAGATTGCAATCCTTGCTGCTGTTGCAGCTGCATGCCAACGTGGAGGAGCTGCAGGAGGCCGTGAACCCTCGCATCCTGCCGAAGGAGTACGGCGGGGAGGTCCCGCTGGCGGACATGATTGGTACGTACTCCCACGGCCGCTCTGGCTTTAACACGGCTCCACAGAGGAGAAAAGCGAACTTGAAACCTAGATTGGGAGCACGATTTTTAAACATACTTATAAACGAATCGTGACGAACTTGGAAATTAATTACATTGGATTTTTTCAAACATTTTAACTTCAAATGGGACTCACATAAACACGAAAAATTGAATTATAAACAAGTAATTGTTTTCAGAACATACACTTTCAAATAAATTTAATTGAGGTAACTAATTAGTACTCACTGGTTCTTCCTATATTAATTTTTCAGTATCCAGGTAATGTTTTTCAACATCACGATTTGGATATATTTTACCCATTTCTATCATTTTGGATTCATTACGTTTTCGTCTTCTCATTGTTCACGTTCACATTCATATTCACGGATTCTATTGTCATGGAATGAAAACTATTTTCACTTCTGGTTGGGTTGAAAGTTGAGGATGAAATATCTCCAAAGTCATTGTCTTGCTCTCTAGTTTCGAGCGTACGTTACAGAAGTTCTAAATTATATCTCGTGGATTCTTATTTTTTCGTCATGTTGATTCGATTAGGACAAGGTGGTGTGGGTTAAGGAAATCATCGATGAATAGGTCATTGAGGATTTGAAAAAATTCTGCTGATGATTCGTAGTTGGCGGGGGAGATAAAATTGGCAATAAACCATTATCTCCTGTGCAGATATTTTGATTTTAACAACAGACTTGGTACTCAACATGAAAACTTGGACCATTCCAAATTTTGACGATAAATGTTGAAGGTTAGGTATATCCAATAATCTATTTCTAGAAAAAGAATATTATTATACTTAAAATGTGTCTCTTTAAATAAATTAACACATATTACAATTATATCTTTCCTGCGATACTTGATTAATCAGATTGATTGAAAATCAAAATCATTTAATTAACTTTATAATTAATCACACAAAAATGAAAACTAAAATTTTCTTGTAAGTATTAAAGTTTGAATATAGGCCACGCAGAACTGTATAATGTTTAAAATGTATATTTATTATGAACTTGCATTGCACATATAAAAAAAATTAACATGAAAATATCCCCCGGCGGTGCCACGCTCAGCTAGGAATAATAGAAAGCAGCGGAGGCAGCGTAGTGGCTAGAGCCCAAGTTTCCTGACGGGATGCACCTCGGTTCACAGGACAATTTCCGCCCCCCCTTATTCAGGGTGGTCGCGAGGTAATGTCAGCCTCCTTTGCAAGTGAGTTTTTGTTGTTTATACTTTGCGCGTCGGCCCGTGTACGGACCAAGAGACGTCACGACCTCGCGGCCTTGTGTTAAGGGGGTACGTGTGGTTGGCACAAAGGCATCCCCACGCTGTATTCCGGTCTTCGCAACTTCAGAAGTGAATTTTCCCATTGTTACACAGCAACATGTACTGGGACATTGCAAGAAAAACGCACACTATAATCGTGCCTGGCCGGGAATCGAACCCGGAGTCAGCGAGCACGCTGACCAATACGCTAAGCCGCTAGACTCCTTTCCAAATGAGTACTTTTATTAATTGTAAAATTTGGGTTCAAGAACTTTCAATAAGCTTTAAATAATGCAAGTAATGGTACAATTCGTATTAACTTTCGTGAATAGCGGGTACAATACAGATTAAGCTCGACGCTTGCCACGCCATACTCTTCCCCTTCTGACGTCACGGAAAGACCTAAAAGATACCCGTTGCAATAATTGTACCAAGGCCTTGAAAGTGGTTAGTATCCAAATAACGAACAAGAAAACCTCTCTCGCTAACATTCATGTAACGCAGTACTAAGAACCTACGAGTTCTGAAGATCGCGGCCTAAACAAATGAAGGTGAACGTGAAATACGGCGGCGATGGTATAACTGTTAGCATATCGTTACACACAAGTTGGCGGGTCCAAACTGCATCGAAGCCGTGGATTTTTAAGGGCGAAAAAATCCTTCGGAGGGGAATTAAAGCCGGTTGACCATGTTATTTGATTTCCTTGCATGTAAAAGATCCACAGACCTAAATGACGCCTCTGAGCTAAACTTAAATGGCCTGTTTCGTCCCCCAGAAATACCTCCTTTCTCCGCTAGTGGGTGAAAGGAGCGTAGCGAAATTTGCGTGGCCAGACGGAAGAGCGGGCCCAGGTCTCGCCACGTAAAATGCGGCAACAATTCAATTGAATTCAATTGAATGCGACGTGTGTTTGCGTTGCAGCGCAGTTCAAGGCGCGGCTGCGCGAGAAGCAGGCAATGCTGCGGGCGCTGGACGACATGGAGATCGACCTGAGCCACAAGGCGTCCCTCGTGTCCGACATGGAGGACGAGCTGGGCGGCGTCGCGGGCAACTTTCGCA